TATTATTAAGGGTTTATAATAATACCCTTTCAAGTGACAACACATTAGAGAACACTTTATACTCTTAAAACAAATCCAAACATTTCATTTTATGGCATGCTTAATGGTTTCAGTATTTCCAATTTTTTTAAAAAATAATTGTTACAAACTGAAAGGCAGGTAGCTATTAAAAATATACTGTAATAAAATTACCATTCCCTACCAATGGAAACACAATGATGGCAATTAAAGGTAACAAAAAAAATGATTAAAAGTTAAGATTTGAGAAGCTAAGAAGTCATGTTAGACTGTCAATTGTTTTTACCATGGTGGGTAACCAGTTAGACATTAAAAAAAAAAAATCTAGTAGTTTAGTGGTGGTCCAGGAAAGAGTCAGTGGGGACAGGGGAGGTTTCAGCGACATGCTGGTAGAAAAACAGAGACTTACATAGTCTGGGTGGGCAGTGAAATGGAGGGCGTGGCCACCTCGCTCACTTAGTGGTCATTTTTTGAGTTTCAATGACTTTTTTTTTCATTCTTTCGCCTAGTAAAGATGACAGAAGGTCCTAATTTATTATCTGATATCTACTTCTGTTCCTAGATATAAGAGAGTTTATCCGTACACAGTCATATAATCCAAATACAAATAGTTTGATTCAAAGAGATGTTCATGCATCCTGTAGAGTCACAACCACTTCCTCAAAGCACAGCTCAGGATTTGGGAAGAAGGATCAGCTACACAGTCTGGGCACTGCAAGTGCAGAGGCACGGCTGGTTGTGGTTTCCTCAGAGTAATGCAGTAGAGGACAGAAGAGCCCCCCAAAAGCAAATTTTTTTCCCAGAAATGCTGTGATCCCCAGACTATAGAAAACTCTTTGGATGAACATCGTGGCCAGTCTTCTGGGTGACAATGTTAGAAGAGTCTGTCAAAATATACACCAGACACATGACAGGTGCTCTAGGCTTTAGGTGCATCCTGTTGTGGCCAAATACAGTGCTATCAATACTACTATCTAGTGTGATCTGGAGGGGTTGTCAGGGGTTGGAATGAGAATAAAAGTAAGTACAGGCGAGCCAGTCATGGATATATGCCTTTAATTCCAGTATTCAGGAAGAGAAACATGAGGATTGCCATAAATTCAAGGCCACTTTGGCCTATATAGTAAGTTTGAGGTCAGCTCAGCTTACATAGGGTGTGATAGCTTGTCTCCCCCAAACAAAAGACCTGTGTCAACTTCTGTGTCTATAAATTATGCGAGTGTATCACACCCACAATTCCCTACTGCTTTGGCTGGAGGGCTGAAAATATTCAGAAAATCCTTAGGAATCAATCAATGAAGAAACAATATTCATTGAATTCTGTGAGGAGAACCACTTGGGTGGAGAACACTCCTTTGAAATAGCTCATTGGTGCAATTAAAGGTGCGTGGAATGGGGATGCAAATTAGAGGGAAGAAAACAGAAGAGGAAAGAGAAGGGATGGCGAAAAACTAATCCTAATACAATGCCAACCATCTCATGATGAAGTCATTTTCTGGCTTTGGGAATGTTGTTTAGCACTGGGACACTAGAGTTGACATTTTAGTTCTTCATTGATAGAGTTCCACATCTGCTCTTAAGATGAATGATTTTCCATTTTCACATACATTTTCAAGTGGATGTAATGTGATATTCATGAATGTGTGATATTCATAGCCTTTTTTTTTCAAGTCACTAACTCTGGAGTGAAGTACATTGTCAAAAAGTAGCTAAAACTTGACCAGAATTAGTCACAAAATACTAGGCAAATAAATTTAGTTATTTTATATGAGTGCACATTCACTTCCTTATGTTTATTCTGCAAAATTAGTCTGCTCTTAGAGACATTTTAATTATGCCGAGATTATTGTCATTGTTACTATTATTAAGCACCATGACAAAATCACTTTAATCCAATTAAACTAAGTGGAAGTCAAGGTATCATTAGCAGCCAAGTGTTGACTGTGGCTACTGTCTTTGGGGTTTTCCATATCGTGAGCTGGTCTTGCTATGGGAGCATCTGCAGATTGCTATGAGGGGAGTACAGAAAACCTCAGCCACCAATGTGTCATTCAGAGAACAGTGGTGGATCTCCAGAGGTCCCTGTCCTTCCTACACTGGGTAGGAACATGAGCGGAGGAGCGGCTGCTCCAAGAGAAGAGAAACACTTCCCTAGTCCAGGCCCACACAGTACAAGCGTGCATCAGACCAGCCTTCAGGAGACTTCTACACTCCTGTGGTTCCGTTACCTTTCGGCTCTGCTGTCTGTTGCTAATGTGTAGCATATGGTTATGCCTAAAGAAATGGAGGGTGGTAGCACAAGACAGATCTGACAGATTCAGTGAGAGACAGCTATTCATGCCCTTTGGGGTGTTGGCTTTGCTGAATTTATCAGGATAAGGAAGACTACTGAAACTTCTGAACAAAACTGGTTTCTACTTTCCCTAATCTTAGACATCTGTGAAACTTCTCCCCCCACCTCTCTCTGTCTCCCTGTACTTGCATGTGTGTGTGTGTGTGTGTCTGTCTGTCCTAGAAATATGTAGTCCAGGCTGGCCCCAAACTCACAGAAATCCACCTGCTTCTGCCTCCCAAGTGCAGTCATTAAAGGCATGCACCACCAGGAGTTTTCAATTTCACTTTAAGTCTATGTTTTATGCAGTACTGAGACTGAGTGGGGTGGGTGGGGTAGTACCACGGTGGAGGCTTCTGCCATAGACCACTCTGCTTTCTCTAGTATAAGGGGAAAAAGGAGCACGCTAAGCAAGGCACCTACTGCTGGTGGATCTGATTTAAACGTCAAATTCTTGCTGAGCTATCACTGCACAGATCTCTAGTAAACATTTGCTCTTTTTATTCTTTGAGTTTCTGTTTCATAAAAAGACAGTGTTTTTTTTTTTCCTGCCCTGGTGAGCTGTATTCCTTCCTTTCTGAGCACTTTGCTCCTGCTAGCCTTTGCCCGTGTCCCTTTTATTTGTGGGGCGCTTGGGAAGGGATAGCAACGTTTAGAATAAGGAAGAAAATAACTTTGAAAGAATTCATCTTATTATGATCATATTTAGATGAATTATGGGGGCTTGCCATCAACAAAATTACAAAACAATTCCCGTGGGATCCCAGACCATTCCGAGTAATTCATCTATGAAAAAATGAACTTTAATTGTTACTCTTGGCAGCCACCTAAGAGGAGAGTGAAATATTATACTAAATATTGCCACGTGCAATAGTTAAATACAATTTCCTCCTTGCCAGAAGCAGTGTACAGTCCCTTGAAATTCACGTTTGGGTCTGCTGATTTAGTTTAAATCCCCTGTTTTCCCCTCTCCAAAACCAACAGAGGTTTTCCAAAGAGCTGCGTGCTTTATTAGAACCATTTGCTCTTTTTAAGTTGCCAGAAAGGAGTAAGTCAGACTAGGAAGTTTATTTGGGTTAAAGTTGATGCTTCAGCTTCATGGAGGTCAATGGACTTTGTGTGTGAGCCCTCTGCTAAGAAGGCCTTTGCAGCCAAGGTTAATGTTGATCCCCTCACCCCAACCCCCAACGCCCCATGCAGATCATGGCTTTATCTAGAAACATACATATGACAAACTTTCTGGCTTTTTTTTTGTTTTTGTTTTGTGTTTTTGGAAGAAGTGAAATTTCAAATAATTTTAACATTGCCCATGCAACTACAATTTTGAGTTTGCACATTGGTTTCTCAGAGCAGGACAGCAACAGGCATTTACAGGGTTTTTTTTTTTTTGGGGGGGGAAGGGGGAAATAGTACACCAGCACACTACTCTATGTAGTTTGCAGCCAAGAAAAGAAAAACCACACTTCAAGAGCAGAAGGTATGGAATGGATCATGTTAAAACATCAGATAACTGGTTATATGTGTGGATCCTTGACAGATTCATAGGTCATGGTTAAGGGTGAGTTTACCAAGAGCTATCTGCAAAGAATTTTTTAAAGAATATACATTTTGGCATAAGTATTTGCATGTAATGGACATAGTTCCCTATGGATATATTAAGCTCCTATGTGTGATATCATGTAGATGTTTTTCAGATTCCATAATGTTTAAACAATTAGGGACCTTAAAATGAATGGCTTCCTTGGGATTATTTATCATGTTTTCAGTGGTCTGAGTGCCAGAATCACCACTGATTACATATTCCTTACACTAGTGAATACTGTTTTCCCTAGAGAGGGATATGTTAGGATCTAAAATTATTTGGGAAAAAGTTTATGGCTGTAGCTCTGATATTAAGTAATTTTTGTTATAACTTCATAGATTAAAATTTCGGTTATTTGCTACTTGAGTAAACACACTAATCTTTAGAAATGCCTTATAGGATTACTTCCTATTTATTATGATATATATTATCCACTACAAAAAGGATGATGGCTACTGTTAAGAAGAGCACTAAAGAGACATATAACTTGCTTCAGCTGTAGGAAGAACATTCCGTGTTTGTTCTATGTCACACACAGCTGCTAGGGACTGCTCAGTGGGACATTTTATCTTCACTGTGGGTTTGCTCATAGAAATATGCCTGCTTTTCTGTTTGTGAACGTTTTAAAACTATTGAAAACAGTGTTACAAAATGCATGCCTAATTGCTAGATTATAGTGAGAAGTATATGCCAGCAATTATACACGAGGAAGCAAAGGTGAAGAACTTAAAAACACAGAGTTATAAAAAAATACCACTCAGAGAGTCAGTGACAGCGAATACCAAAGCAGTTAGGCTTCCCATAGGCCAATTATGCTTGGGAGTTGGGGGAATTTTTAAAAATTTGACCTATGATGTTGGAAGCATAGGAAATCTGCCATGTATGTATACTTTTAATTAAAAAAAAATCAATCTGCCTTTTATGTATGGAAGAACCAAAGAATTCTTCATGTATGAGCACAAAATTTCATTTTGCTTTGTTTGAAGGGTTCAGTTTCTTGCTCTCCATTTAAAATTGGGGAAAAATAAAAATGTTTTGCCTGTGACAGAATAGGAAAGAAGTTCTCACCCTTAAAACCAGCAGCATTGGTTTTCCAGTCATTAGCGTTCAAATGTCCCGCACGGGAAGTCCTGACAATAACATGCTGTACGTCTCTCCAGGTCAGAAACGGACTGGGGAAAGACAAGGTAAGAATCATTGTACCAAAAAAAAAAAAAAGATGGGGGAAGCAGAGTCACAAGCAAATTCAAAAAGCAAAATCAAAATGGCAAAGTACTAAAAACGGGATGGAGATTTGGGTTTGGGATAATCAAATGCCAAAGGCCATTCCTGCTCTCAGTGTGGGGGCATGATGTCAGTCTGTGGAAGGCAGAAGATGTAACCATAAGAAGAAATCCTATGCTCAGTGTTGGTGTGTCATTGTAGCTTAGTGATAACGGCGGGGAGGGGGAAAGGTTTCCCATTTCCTTGACAAAATGGCTGCTCACTACAGAGTGACTATCTCGAGTGAGAATTTGCATCTTCAGACACAGATTAGTCAAAGCAGAAACCTCTATAACGTTTCCCCTTTAATCTTACAACTAGGCAATCAATTGCAGTTTACCAAAGATCAGCATTTAACCTTCTGTACAAATACATGTGTAGGTCAAGGAAAAAAAATAGCTGAAATAAAGCTCACACTTTTAGAGTTCTTTTAGGAAAAGAATGTGGCTTGATCCAAAAGTTAGGCTCTACTATGCAGAGGCTAGGAGAACATTCTCACTTTTTAATGTGTAGCAGATATATTAAACAGACAGCTCACTAGTTCTCAGGGCTGATAGTGCAGAGGAACAGAAGGTAACGACCGAAGAGGCCACACTGAAAATCTAACAAAAACACAACCAAGTCAGATAAGACAGTCTGGGTCTCTTTTAGAGAACACAAGTGCGCAGTAGGTACCGGACATGGTGAGAACAGATTGTTCTTGTGCATTCTTCAGTCTAGTAGTCTGAGATGTGCCCATCTTTTTAAAACACCCTAGTGTTTTTTCACTTATTTATTTCTCTCTGTGATCTCATGTACTACATGGTGTATGTATTTGTAGGACAACTTTCACGGATGAGTTCAGTCCTCTTTCTATATTGTGGGTTCTGGGATCAAATTCAGGTCATCAGGGTTAGAAGTGAGCACCTTTACTCACAGTGCCACATCAACACCCTTGATATCTTTTTCCTAAATGAGAATTATGGTAATAATTATCACATGACCTATGTAATTATTTTCATCATCTTGTACCTAGCGTTTGGAGGATTCAACAACCTAGAGAACACCCACTTCCAATTCTGAGCAAGTTACTGGATATCTATCTCGAACACTCCCATTTCACTGCTAAGGGAGCACTTAGTAACTGTGGCTCATACTTTTTTTGGGGGGGGATATTTTATTTAAAGTTCAGATGTTATCCCCATTTTCCCCTCCCCCCACCCAGGAACCCCCTATCCCATCACCCTTCCTTCTGTTTCTCTTCGGATGTGACCCTACCTACCCCCACCCACTTCCACCTCCCCATCCTAGAATTTCCCCATACATGGTGTCCAGCCTTCATGGGACCAAGGATCTCCTCGCCCATCTATGCCCGACAAGGCCGTCCTCCCTTACATATACAGCTGGAGCCATGGATCCCTCCGTAAGTGTTCCCAGGCTGGTGGTTTAGATACTGGGAGATCTGATTGGTTGGTATTGTTGCTCTCCTCATGGGGCTGTAAACCCTTTCAGCTCCTACAGTCTTCACTCTAACTCCTCCATTGGGAACCCCTTGATCAGGTCAATGGTTAGCTGTGAGCATCTGCCTCTGAATATGTCAATCTCTGGCAGACCTCTTGAAGCCTATGCATTACTTTGCTTCAAGCTAATTGCTGTCCCATCATGGCTACCATATGTACAATTTGGTCAATGCTCTCCTAGAAGTAAGTAGCTCCATCCTCAGACTACAACTCTTTCCTTTTCTATGTGAAATTAATCTATACAAAGAATTACTTTTCTCACTTAGCTAGAACATAGAACTTGACAATTGGTTAAAGTAATACTAACTACTCAACATAATGCCTAGTGCACAATAATCTCTTAGGAATCAGAGCTAGTTTGTCTTTTTGTCCAGGTAACCCACTGCTGTTACTTGGCAATTTGAATATCAAGAAGTTGGAGAAAGAAAAGAACTACTGAGTGTTGATACCATTTCTTTACCTCTCAGAAAGAAAACAGAGTGAGCCTCTTCAGAAGACAACACAATGACTTTTTAAAGGTTATGATAGTGAAAGGACTAATGTTTAGACAATTAGAACCATGCTAAGTGGCCTTGGGAGAGTGATGGAAACAGGATTTTCATTCTGTTTGAATACCACCCTTGTTGAGAACCATTTTAGAGAGTGGGAAGGCATGAAACTCAAGAAAGGGAGAGAGGTGTTCAGTGGGGCCCAGGAGGAAGGAAAATGTTGCCTCTAAGGCAGATGGCTTGATGTGGTCCTTTGCTGACTTGCCTTGAATTCACATGAAAACTCAGAAGACTCAGTGCTGTACTGTTAGTGACATGCAGAAACTCATTCGGGATGCTGGTATCAACACAGATGCTCCGATCTGACTGAGGTAGGATGCCCACAGTGCATGTCCTTCTTTGTGTGCCCACTAAAGAGCAGGGCAAAGCTCTCAGGAAAAATGTCCAGTTTGAGTAGACATTCCAGATGCTCATTTATGGTTTTCCACAATGTTCCCAAATGAACATGCATTTTTTTTCATGTGTAAACAGCAGAACAACAAAAAGTACCCATGGGCTTGATGGCTATATCTATCTAAACCAACCTAGCAATTTAGAGATAACATTAACACACAGCTAGAACGTCTGTATTTTAAATAGTATTCTTTAGGAAAACAGGATTGCAGTGAATTTTCTATGATACCTGTAAGACTCAGAAAAATTCAGCATAGGGTTCTGAACATTGATAATCATCTATTTTTCCTTTAGATCACCTCAATGCTAAAATGGAAAAGTCATCCAACAGGGGACATTTATCTTGTACCTGAAGCAGCTGTGCTCTGGCAGATGGAGGAAGCCTCCCGCAATCAACTCAGCCTGAAGACATTGCTTGGGTTACTCGTTCTCACGCTGAGTTACAAAATCTAGTTTCTGGAATAGTTGTAATTAGAAAACTCAGCATCAGGACATTTGAAAGAATGAGGTGGCCTGATAATTCTACTTTGACACCTGATAATGAATGGAGCTGCCTGAATTTCACCAAAATATACAAGTAAGAAAATAAAGGAAAAAAAAATCAATGAGTTTGGAAAAAGTGGCATTTCTGTCCATGGAAAGACAACTAATGAGCTCAGGAAACAGTGAGAGCTTAGCCATATTAGATAGTGGCTTTAGTCAGGAGCACACTCTGAAGGACTCTTGATTATGCTGATGTTTGAGTTCCATCTTATTTCCATCTTATTTCATATTTTTACTTATTCTCACAGGGCTGATATAGAGGTGAGGATTGAGCCAGATTACCAAAGATTTGGTAAGAGAACATTCTGGTAAACATACTGAGAGCCAAAGCACAGAGGAAAAGCTGAGCACCCTTCCTAGGGAAAGCCATAGGTACAGGAGTAACACAGGATCCCTTAAAAATCACACACTTCCACAAATACCTTTGGCCTCCATTCCCCTGACCTCAAAACCCAAGCCTGCTCTTTCTCAAAAGCAACTGCAAAGAGCTACAACGGGGGGGTGTGTGGGGGGGGAGGGAGGCAAATGCCTAGCCAACCTAGAAAGAGAAGATGTTGAACTTGCTGGTCGCCTCTATCTAACAGCTTCTAGATGGGGGCGGGGGGCTTCTTCCTGTGATTGTCACCAGTTATGTCTCAACAATACACCCCAAAACATAGCTAACTGTGATCTTAAGAATCATGGAAATGAACTTAACCTTCTGGGCAGTTCTGGAAAAGCCTTGTTTTACACTACAAATGGTTTTTCTTTTTTGTCTGACCTTGTAATAAGATACAATACTTAAAGAGTGTACTGGCCAAGACCAGGTACTGTGTGTTACATAAATAATATTGTTGTGTAATATTAAGAATCATGATGTAAGGACTTATCACTTTAGCATTTCTCCACAACTACAAAGGTGGGAATCAAAGTTGTACAGTCATGCAAGTCCATGGAGGGGCCACAGGAAGAGCCTGAATCCACAGCTGTGGGTTTTGCCTGTAGCACTCATACTGTTAGTTAGCAGATACAGTTGCTTCCAGAACAGACCCATAGGCTGCTCTGGGAAAGGATGTATTCTGGCTTCTGTGGTTATCCTTAGACATTCTGAGTCAAGGAGCCAAACAAGCATCTTAGGACATGGTCTCATGGTCATGTGACCCTTGTGTACCTACTACCTCAACTCCATTGCTTGATTTTTGTCTACTATCATATTAAAAATATTCTTAAATGTTAATCTTGCTTGCAGAAGTTCTACCTTTTTTATGCATTCTAATCAAAGATCAGGAGAAAAAAATACCAGAAAAATCAAGTCTTTTAAATGTACTTCACATTTATGTGAGATTATAACTTTATTACGTAATTACATAGCATTCATGTTGTGAATTGATCATCTCCCTTGCCAGGGTCTCACTTTGATGTGCTTCATAGCCTGGTTAGCTAAGCTCCTCAGTGGATGAGCTCAAATCTGTCCCTAAACACCACTAGTTTATAGCTGTTAACACAGGACAATGACTCTGGTTACCATGGGGTTGTACAATGTTCTTGCTCTCAGAAGTTCAAAGTTTCTTTTTTTTTTTTTAATGAACTCACTACAAGATTTAGAATAAGCAGGGCATGTCTCAAGAGAGTTATTTTTGTGTAGTGCTTCTTATTAAGCTTTTAAGTGTAACTGCTAGCACTTATATTAAAAAAGAAAATAAAAGTCACTCACCAAGAATTCTGGAAAATAATTCTCAGATGTGTGAGTTTGGAAACAAACTTGCATTTAATGATCCTTACAAACAAGGTCCAAATTGAAGCTTGGGCAACTGACTCACCTGAACTTTTTCAAGAGAAAAAAGAGTCTCCCATTCCCTACAAAAGATGTACCACCATCACCACCACCATCATCATCACCATCATCACCACCACCACCATCATCACCACATCACCATCATCACTATC